ATAACGACAGTGCAGGTCCACCGGGTGTTAGACGAGTCATTCTGCCATCATCGTTCCCAGGCTCACCCCGTGCGATGGTCCAGAACTATCAAGATGCCATGGCCATTGTATCTAAGTACGGAAAACCAGATCTCTTCATTACATTCACCTGCAATCCGGCATGGAGGGAGATCACCGAGCAACTGGAGAACGGACAGACGGCATCCGATAGACCTGACATCGTTACCCGCGTATTCAATATCAAATTACAAGAGCTCTATTGTGATTTGTTCAAGAAACAAATATTCGGGGCGGTGAATGCGTACATTTCTGTAATGGAGTGGCAGAAGCGTGGACTTCCGCACTGTCACATGCTTATCACTTTAGCAGAGCAGGATAAACCAAGAAGCGTTGGCGACATCGACTCTATCGTACAAGCTGTTATCCCGGATCATGAAACTGAACCTCGACTATATAATATTGTCACTAGCTGTATGATGCACAGGCCATGTGGACAAGACAATCCACGTTCGTCATGTATGGTCGATGGGAAGTGCTCTAAAAGGTTCCCAAAGCAATTCAGAGATGAGACAGACACCGAACTTGACGGCTACCCGGAGTACCGCCGGCCTGATGACGGCAGAACATGCGTTTCAGGAGGAAAAGTTCTCGACAACAGATCTGTAGTGCCATACAACAGGTACCTAGCGCTTCGATACAACGGCCATTTGAATGTAGAAATATGTGGAATGATTCAAGCGGTCAAGTACATGTACAAGTACGTCTACAAAGGACCGGATCGAGCAGCACTCCACATGGTACGGAGAAATGACAGCTTCAACGAAAGAGAAGTCAATGAAATCGACGAATATGTAAATGCGAGATACGTGTGTGCACCTGAGGCTGTACATCGACTCCTAGGGTTCGATCTTCAGTCAAAGTCTCATACCGTCTATAGGCTCCAACTCCACCTGCCTGACTATCAGACTGTGACATTTCAAGGAGGAAGAGAAGAGGAGGCGCTCCGTCGAGCAGCCGAACGAGACACTATGTTGACAGCATTTTTCAAACTGAACGAAGAGCATGAAGTTTTGTATAGTGGACTAAATGCACCGGAAGGACAGAAGGATGCCCGTACTTTGCTTTATATACAGTTACCGGAATTTTTTACCTTCGATCACCAAACAAGAAAGTGGAAGCCTAGAGTGAAACAGAATCGTCAAATCGGAAGGATGTACACAGCGGATCCTTTAGACGTGGAACGTTACAGTCTTCGAATCCTTCTCCTACATAGGAGAGGACCAAAGTCGTTCAACGATTTGAAAACTGTTGATGGAATTCTACACGACACGTTCAAGGACGCTGCTAAGGCTCTTGGGCTGATGAATGACGATAGTCACTACGACAGCTGCCTCAGCGAAGCATTGGGTTTTCACATGCCAGCTCAACTCCGATCCCTTTTCAGTAGCCTCCTTTGCTTCTGCTCAGTTACGGAACCCGTAGTACTGTGGGAAAAATTCAAAAAAGCGTTAGCTGAAGATTATATTCATCGAGGAGTGAGTGAAAGTGAAGCTATTGTTCGGACCTATTACGACATCATGGACAAAATGCAAATTTACGGTGTTAATCTGATGAGCGTAATAAGGCCACCTTCCGATCAGAGACCAGCGCAGCTCATCGACGAAGAACTCACTGGAGCCGAACACGTGATTTATGGAGAGCGACTCATGGAACAGTTGAATGACGGTCAGAAGGCTGCCGCGACCAGCATTTTAGCATCCATAACTGGCAATATCAGTAGGCACTTTTTCATAGACGGACCTGGAGGGAGTGGCAAGACGTTTCTCTACACGGCATTATATCATACACTTCTTGGAATGAGGAAGAGTGTAATCTGTGTGGCATGGACGGGAATCGCTGCGAACCTTCTTCCCAACGGGAGAACGGCGAGCAGTACATTCAAGATCAACATACACGACAACAATAGAACCTGTTGTATGAAAAGGCAATCTGCAGAAGCAAAAGCCCTTCAGAACGTTTTTGTCATTTTTTGGGATGAGATATCCATGGTACCTAAGTGGACTCTTGAAGCCGTGGACGTTCTGCTCAAAGACATTATGCAGAATAACCTTCCTTTTGGAGGGAAATTGATGATCCTAGGAGGAGACTTTCGACAAGTTCTCCCGGTCGTAGAGAGAGGCCAACAAGAAGACCTAGAGAACGCGTGTATCAAAAACTCTCATTTATGNAGGCATTTTGTCACGTTTCACCTTCCAACCAATATGAGGGCCTCCGTTGAGAATATAGAGTGGGCTAGAATGCTCTTGCAAATTGGTAATGGAACCTACCCAGAAGACGAGGATGGTCTTATTGAATTGCCGGCCGAAATGCGAAGTAGTGGAGACCTGATTACAGAGATCTTCGGTGAAAGAACCAGCATCAATGATGTTGGCAACTTGGCAGAGAAAGCAATCCTTGCACCTAAGAACATCCATGTTGCTCACATGAACGAACTTTCGCTCCAACGAATGCCTGAGGAACTAGAATTGAAAATATATAAAAGCGTAGATGAGGCGGAATACTCGGATTTAGAAGACGTTCTGAACTATCCAGTTGAATTCCTCAATCAGCTGAGTCCCGCTGGAATGCCGCCTCATGAACTCAGACTGAAACAAGGTTGCATCGTGATGTTGCTGCGAAACCTGGACATTGCTAAGGGTCTCTGTAACGGGACCAGGCTGATAGTCGACCACTGTGGCCGCTTTGTTCTGGGGTGTCGTTTCGCTACGGGGAGTAGAAGGAATCAGTATGTCCTACTTCCTCGAATTGACAACTATACTGATAAAGGGCTTCCTTTCCGTCTTCGCAGGCGTCAATTCCCGATCCGCCTTGCCTTTGCAACTACGATCAACAAGGCTCAAGGACAGACCCTATCAAGTGTCGGAGTATACCTTCCTGATGACGTCTTTTCTCATGGTCAACTATATGTTGCGTTATCGAGAGTTCGTAGTTCGAGCTCAGTCAAAGTTCTATCTCCCCGACAGAAGATACGCAATATAGTTTTCAAAAACGTTCTATGAGTTCGATGGCCCTACGAAAATGTGCTGACATCACCACAATCAATGTTTCGTCGCAAAATCCATGTTGCTTGCAATTTATCCATTCAACAAGAAACATCTCAGATTCTGAACGATTCCAATTACGATTTCCATTTCAATCGTCTCTTCTCATCGATGTTCACGAACCTGCCCTCTCTCAAGTCCCCTCTTGCCAAATGCTCTAATGTCATCTTTCCCACATTAGCGTCCTGTGAAATGGCCCTCAAATTATATTCTCCTGAAAGGTTTCATTACTGCTTAATGCCTAGGTAGGTACATTTCTAAATCTACTATGCCCATCATTCCACTAGATAATGTTTCAGGAGACACGTTTCAATCTTTCCAGGTTACCCAGTGCTCTCTGAATTGTTTTCTGTTTACTCTGAAAAAGAAATTCTGAAGAATTTCTTTATTCATCTCATTTTGAAGAAGGTAGTATCCAAGTGAATTAACGTCCTCATAAAACCAGTGAGGTTATAATTAGAACGGAAGCCCTAGATAGGTACGCTTTTTAAGCCGACTTTCTGTATCACTCCCTAACCAAGCACTATCCGAGAAAGCAAGCTTCGCACTTTTTAGATCGGGCAGTGCTCTCCATAATTGCTTTCTATCCATTCTGAAGAAGTGGTATCCAAGTAAAGTCCTATATCCTCCTAAATCAGTAAGATTATGATTAGACCGGGAGCTCTAGATAGGTACGCTTTTTAAGCCGACTTTCTGTGTCACTCGCTGACCAAGTACTATCCGAGGAAGTCATTATTAGAATGAAATAGTTTCATTTTATATTCATCGAAAGGAAATACCATATTGTTTGTACCAATCTTTGTGCCTATTACATAAGAAGGAGGAGAGCCCGGCGTTAGCTGGGCGATCCGACTGGTCTGAAAAAAGTTAGAAGAACCTCGAAACTCCACTATGCAACCTTCTTGGGGAAGCCGCCAACCTATTGCCTGTCTGGGATAACTACGAGGATGGTACAAAGATGGAACCCTCAGTGTGTGAACGATAACACCGCTCATCTTGTCCAAGCTGAAAGCGTATTACAATTTTTTTCTGCTACCTAATCACTCAAAATGTGCCAAATCATATATTGCTGACAGAAGGGTGTGACCAAGACAGCTCGCTTGGGTACTAGGTCGTCAGGCTACTTAACAGTTATTTTCTCCGCCTCCCCCTTCCCCCCACCCGACACTTTACCAAACTCTGAAAGGAAAGTGGAATCTGCATTACAGGTACTTTACTTCTCAGACTTCGTATACGCGAAGTATGAGGAGTGACGTATCTGTAATGCAGATTACATCAATATACATCATGAGAATGCCTTCAAACAAAGGATATTTTGGACCATAGACAACTATATTGCCTTCTTTCCTCACCTTTTTCGAGATTTCTGATTCTTCAGAGACCGAACAGTTTTGGTGAGATGCCTTGCTATTTGTCCGAAAACAGTTCTGAAACTCTATTAGAATTATCACGGAACAAAGAAAAACATGCTCATCAACTATTTCCATTGTTATGGCTTATTCAAACAAGCTTTTGGAAAGCTTCACAGCTTTGTAGATCTTTCATGCAATCCTGAAGGCAACCATTGAAAGTTTCATCTTCTTCTTTCCATGAACGGAGTAATGCCGAAGCGAGAAAAGCGTCAAAAGACTGCAGAATTTAAGCACAGATTTGTTTGGTATTTTTCACCATTTATTTAGTCGGTTGCTTTCTGCCCGTCAATTTATGTCGTTGTATTTACTTCCTTCATTTTGAAGTACACAGAGACACTACAGACACTACAACAAGATTGAACAGTGAGAGGCTGGCCTCGTTCACGTTTCTTCGACGACAGCTGGACATAAGAGGGCGAAGTCGTTTACTAGAAGAAGGTTTCAAATTTCGGTGAAAGATTAAACGAAGAAAAGGGTACGTAATGAAGCCAGAGTGCTGCTTGCGAATATGGAAGTTATCAGGTTGCCACATAAAGCTTCTGCGATTCTTTCTGCGGCCCCGTTCTCCCCACTTATGCTGACAAATGCGTTGATCTAGTTGGATGTGAATAGTGCATAATATGGACTTTTTCGAGCTCGCTGCCTACCACGGGCTTAGGGCTTCGCAACAATTTGATTAGCAATTATCATTTCAATCGCGCACCCTGTGTGTTCTCCTTAATCGTTACAATTTTTGCTCGAAACCAACCGAAGCACACACCAATCTAGCACCAAGCTTACGATTAAGGTATCACTCGTAAAACACGTGAGTGTGTGGGGTGGTTCGCCAACTTGAGAATGGTGATCATCTGCTAGGTGGTCAGGTACGGAGATTGTACGACATTCGGTGCCAAAGCTCTACAAGACATTAAAAAAGGCTAAAATCAAGGGTTGGGTGAGAATCGACGGGAAAAGTTGCATGAAAAAGTACTTGGACGTGCTGTCCAACTGTGAAAGCTGCCTGCGTGCAAAGTGTGCGTCCCGGTGCAACGGCGCAACTTCTAATGCATAGGGGAACTCGTCCGCCTTGGGTGTGCACTTGTGCTAAGCCAGGAGCTGTGGGTCAGTAGAAAACCACAAGCCAAATTATCAGTTAAAGTTCTCACAGTTATTATAAAGCAAAGCTATATAGAAATGCTTGAAAACTGCAATTGCGTGCGATTCTCGCTATGGCTACGCGCGCTTCGAGAGGCCTCAGCACCTTCCCAATACCAGCTTCCTTCTAAAGCACCCCGAATAGAAGTAATGTCAATTATGGCACAAATTTCGAGACGCACATTTTCAACAAAGATCAGCTCAGCATCCTAATACCATCTCCTAATTTACTTCTTTTGTTGAAAATAATTTTTTCCTAAACTGGAAAGATTAAAAGTAGGCAGCTCACTACAATTGTGAGGTCGGACGTTTCTATAATGCACACAAGAATAGCTGCATAATTATTCCCTCGACCTCGACCATCTTATCAAAAAAATGCAGAAAAGTGGAAGCAAGACAGTGTACTTGCTGACCCAATCTCGAGCAGCGTTTGACAACAGATCTTCCTTGTCTATGTAGACATAAAGTTCAGATTTCAAAAAATTCAGTGGAATAGAGTCATCGGATCCTGGTTTAAGGTGACAGACCCTTTTTCAAGGTTGTGCCTTCCAGAAGGAAAATGACTGGCAAGTGACTGCACAAATGAATTCTACTGATTGGTTATATACTGCTATCTCAGGATTTTGCTTCACTCGGAACCATACCTGTTGTCCTTGTCAATTAAGTTGTAACTGCTCCTAGTGAGTACTTCCCGTTTATGTCGTAGTGTCGGAGCTTTCGAACGGAATTCCCTCTTCAGAGTAATCCTTTTCAAACCATGTCCTTTATTTCTTCCAAGATGCAGCCCACGTACATCAGGACGACGTACTGGAGAAGGCGACGGGAGGCGTACTGGAAAAGGAATAGAAGTTTCGTTGCCTCGTAGCCAACATTTCCATACTGAGGGTAACGTAACGGCACTATCCAATCGCTTCTTCTCACGCTAATTCATTCAGAAATTCTTGAACAGTATCAGATGATTTTCCTTAAACCTAGCCAACTGAGTAGTCATCTTGCTATCTCAGCATTAAGAGAATATAAGAGAAACTGAAGAGAGCCTGAATGCGCCATACCTCGAGCCATCACACGTCTTTTTCCGAACAGTTTCATCCATCGTGTTCGTTTCGCTTCTTCAGCTTCTGCTTCCAGTAGCATACTAACACACTTAGCGTGAGCTTGAATATCGTCTGCCTTTTTAGCACATTTGTGGTGCCGCTTTCTTTCCGCTTCAGGTACTTTTGGCAGTCTAAAACTAAGGCTTGTAAGAGAAAAAAGATTTAAAATGCTGTTCTACAACATAAAACGTCATTTCTTTCCGACCAACGAGTTGCCAAGAACCGCAAGCGAACTGAAAACAAAGCTTGTTTGCTCAGAAGCAGATAAACTTTGTGCGAGCTAAAAAAATTGATTTTGAGTTGCTAGTTTTATAATTTTCTGGGCGATTTCAAAATTTGATATTGCGGACCTGGACGAAAACCTCGCTTTGTAAATATGTGTTCAGTAAACTCTCACCGGTCGGTAGCAAGAGCAGCCATCAAACTGCTGAACGCCTGATCGACCCAATGTTGATAGAGTTCATTGCCGCTTTCTTCACTCATTGGCACATTGAATATTCCCTCCTACAACAGAACAGATAGCTGATACGAATTGAAATCTAGCATATTTGCAGGATTCTTCTGCTACAAATTCAGACCAGTTGACCCTCAAAGTCACAGTCCACGACAGGCAGGTTGCTGAGATTCTCCCATTTGACGAACTTTTGGCTTCTAACCATAAGAATGCCACGTTGGAGTGGTAGAGCTCGAAAACGGAATAGATCGGGAACTACAAAGCCTCGAAGGTTCGCAGCGTATGCATAGGCTCTCAGCCATGACAATACTGAAAAGCAGTTTCTGGCAGCAGGTACATAATGGCCAACTTCTTGCCAGTGCAATTGCGCCCTGCTGATCTCGCCCTAACACCGTTTTCGCCGTCAGAATCTTGCACAGCCCCGAATTTAGTCAGTTTCATGAAGCCTTGTTCTACGTGAGCTCCGCGAGTTCTCTCACTTCCATCACCAACGCCGTCACGTTTCTGCTCAACACTTCTGTTACTTAACTTGAAAAGGCTATCTCAAAGTTGTCGTGAACTATGCCTCTACGACTATTGATGGTGAATGATGGTGGTTGGTATGATGATATGAATCGGTTTGTGCTACAAGGGAGTTTCAATAGTGTGGTCTATGTGACATACGCCTTGAGATACAACCAGGACCACATTATTTTGTACTCAATGGGTGTAACATACTATGATTCTCTTTTGTTTAGTTAACTACAAACTGTGCCAATCTAATTGAGTCTTCATGTGCTGAACCTTAGTAAAAGGACGTCAGTGCATCTCCTCCCACACTTTCGGAACTGGCTACAGGGGAAACATTTATGGTAGCACACCTTGCAATCGGATTGCTATAGCTGGAATGGAGAGGACTTGACAAATGTTGAGATGGGGCATGGATTGTTCAATAAAAGGTCCACTGCCACGTGCTAAGGAGGAAGCAGACGGACACAAAGGTTGTCCTACCTTATAATAGGGCGAGTTTTTGACGTCAATTTCGACTTCATTTTTCTCGACAATGGAGCCCTTGGAACACACTGAAAACGATTAGTGAGTGTTGTCCACACAAAAAAACATCATGTTCTGCTGGAAGGATTATATCATCTTGTTATAAAATTTTACTAGCTTTTCACTTCGAACTTTTGACATTGAATTACCTGCAAACATTTTGGAAAGAAATGGCACCGATAACTTCATTTCAGGAAAGAAATTCCAGCCCCATTTATGGTACGAGTGGAAGAAATGAGAAAGGTCTCGACACCCCCGGCTTGAATTCCCAATGACACCGTCATGAAAGCCGAGAGAGTGAGATAGGTTGACAATTCTTGCCTCTCCTATGTAGCTTTCACGTTCCCATTCCAGCAGTATGAGGGGAGGTGCAACAGACACACTAACGCTGGTTTCTCTAGGAGGGCCTTCTTCCGTGTCAGCGCCTTTACCAACACGTTGACCTTTGCCACACAAATTCCTTTCGAAATCGGTATTTACTGCTAATATTTTTTAAGTTTGGAATTCGAGGATTCATTCTCGAAGGTTCGAAAGAGACAAACATGTAAGGGCTAAGGTGAACAATTCGTGCTCGTCTTTCCATCTCGGGGATACGAGTATCCAAGGTCTAAAACTGTTCAGGGTTGGCTACGGCGTCGTTCGCAGTTAACGGCAGAATCGCGACAAGCCTATAGAACATAAATAGAAGGAACTCAATGAAGGAGGACTGCACAAACAAACGACAAACGTCACAAACGACTGTTAGGAAGTAGATCTCTTGATCTAGCCAAATCCGCTCACTTCAGAAAAATCATGTAGGAAAGTATATATGGGAATAGAAGATGGTGAGCTTTATTTGACCACATAACAAGGCTACCCCGAACGAAACCCCTTCTTCTTCTGCGCGCGTACGCATATCCATTCTTCCCTCCAGTACTTCTCACTGCTATTCATTTTTTGACTTTTCAGGTACGTTACATCTCAATACCAGCCTGTTCCTCTTCTACATCGTGCCTTTTTAGCTGATTATTTGAAGGGCAGTACCGGGGAAGCCACCTTCACCTTCAGCATTTTTTTACTTTGCACCCGAAAAGAGGTCTTTGGTCAAGAACTTTCTACTGAATGAGTTATGCGATGAAGGGTGGTCGAATGGTGCGAAACTAGTGCTATATGGCGGACAGAGCATTACTTTCCAACTAGCCTTCGATAGTTTTTGCCGAGTCCCCCAAATGTATGCGGTCTAGCCATGTCTTACTGAAATGCCACTCCTCTACAACCCTACATTTAGAGGGCTTTTCCAATGGCTTTATCAGGCTTTATCAAATTCTAATAAGTACAAGTCCAAGTTGACATTCTGGTCCCTGGGAAACATTCGAACTATATCCAACCTTTGTAATCCCATCAAATCAGTAGCGTGACCTTCCCCCGATGAACATTGGCTTCGGACATCGTTTGAGCAGGTTTATCCGGTAACTACCATAGTCATTGTGAGTAACTTTATCGTTAACACTTTCATCAACAACTACTATTCCACCCTGAATGGGTAGCGTTCACTGCTTCGTCCAATCGCAGACACCAAGCCTTGGCGTCAGGTGTATTTTCCTCAATTTATGTGACACCTCAACACCTGGCTTCTTTACTACATAGTCCAGGTTAGTTTTATTTTCATTTCAACCATTCTCATGAATGCGTTAGCCCTCACAGAAAGTTCTTACATGGGTTACATGAAGGTCGGCCATGGTCATAACCATTAGAAGATTATCATCGATACCAACTGGTCAGCCCCAACTTGAAGCGAAAAATCGCTAAAGCGAAAATATTTGTAACTCTAACTTGTCTACGATTAGGAAGTAGATCAAATGATGAAGCCAAGTGTTTGAGAGAAAATGCGAATTGTTCCAGCAGATGAGGATAAATTATGTATAATAATCACCAAGCAATGACAGGAGGATCTTCAGCATGGCTCTTCACGCAAAGACACCCAATGAAAACATGAGAAGACTCCAAATTCTCAATCTGAAAGAAATCTTGGAAAAGCCACGAAATAGAGAATGAACAAAATTATTGACGCACATTTTAGGAACATTCGGTAAAACTGGTTTCGTTGTTGGTTCAACTCGTATAAGGTTCCCTGAAAACTTAGCGGCTATTGAGCTGGAGCAAATTGAGACAATCTCCAGAACTCCCTCGAAACAGAGTCAAAGGGCTCGTGTAATCACAGTCACAATTTCTTTTATAGAGGGTTGCCTGGCGCGGCCTTTCGCCGAAAGTTTCACACCGACAGGAGATTACAAAAGGCCTCGCACTGATGGGATGAGTATGTTCGGAAGAAGGACCCGATATTCGACAAGAGAAAAGGTTTCCTATTAATGCAGTGAACATTTGTAAAACATTACCACTCGAACGAATCTGTAATGGTCTCGATTCTCATTTCTCATGTGATTCCATTAAGAAAAAAGATTTTGCAGCTATGCCCCTCAAAATTTTAAGCTTCTCTTACCTTCGTTTTGTGAGCCATCACATCGAACCAGAACCATCACAGCGGCTTATCTATGATGCAGGAGTTTGTGGGGCATTAGCCGGATGGAAGTTGCCTTCCTCATGGTTACTGAAATACTTTGGATATAGGAACTGGCTGCCATTTCTTCAACAATTCAGCATCGGATGAAAGTGTGTATGTATGGGACCTGTACTAAAGGCAAACACGACCAACTGGGCGCCACCTCTTAGCTGATCTTTGCATAACTGGCAACTAATCCTTACAATGTATAATCTGCACTCCGTAACTCTACATATGGCCTCATGACAATTTGGCTGTATCCTATATTGACTTCATCAAGGAATGAATAGAGTATGCCAAAGGTGTTCGTTCTCAAAGATTCGACTCTTGCGAGAACCAGACGTCCATTAATAACAGCTTCTAGACGTTGTTCCTTCTTACGAGTTACTGCCGGGACGATCCACGGCAATATTACCCTACCCTATCTAGTCGTCCCCTCAGTGCATTCCATCTTTGTGTCTCTCCTGCGTTCCCCTCTCACATAGTTTACATAGTTCATATAGACTGCCTAATGGTCTCGTGGAGTACCACTGATCTTTGTCGTGATGGTTCATTAAGTCCAATGATAAAGACAGGTCACTTGAATGTCGCAATTTGGCGTAATCCTCCGTCACGGGAATTCCGAGTGCAGTTCAACCAAACAAGTCGCAAGAGATTCAACGGTTCAGAAGGAAGAGTTTGGGTACATGTCTCATTGTCAAATATTGTGTTGTGAATTCGATCGATTTCCTCACAGCTAATAATGAAAAAACAATTTATTCAAAAAGGACCGGAGTCGTTATCGTATCAAAATCACATGTTTATCTAGGACGATGAAACTACATATTATTATTGTGATCTCGAAGTTTATACCTTTTTGAGGGGTTTTAGTTGCCAAAATCATCGCAAAACCATTAATCTAGAGATAGTTGTTCACATTTCTGTTCTATTGCAGTCTGTACTTCAGTCTTTTGAAGATAATGTAGAACGTTGGATAGGGTGAGGGAATATTGGCGTCAGCACTGCATGTGGGTACGAAAACACTCAGGAGCGAAGTGAAAGAAGTAGTAGTTCAGCAATAAAATAAAATCATTTTCATTTGAATACTTATTTTGCTGTCAAGGACTAGCAGGTGAGGAAATTTTTTTTCTAGCGGCAGGCGTTCATTCATACATCAGTGGCACAGTAGAAAAAGTATTACCTTGTCGAGGTGAATTATATTGAGAAAAACAGGAAGTAAAGAAAATCAAGCAATAAGTAGTACACACAACCATGTTCACAGATTTAGTCTCGTAACTTGAGCAATCATTTGATTGTCAGCGATTGCTAGCTTTGCAGTAGCAGCGTTAACCTGTAACAGCAATTTTCCACTAGGAGCTCGTGCGATGAAAGATTGACTCTCAAAAATTTGTGAAACAGCGTCAAAATCCTCTCCTTCCAATCGAGGCACTTTGACGACATCACTTGCCCGATGGTACGCATTCGTTAAAGAAACGACATCAAGAGCTTTCTTTTTGTTCGATGAGAGAACGACAGCAACAGCAGGCAAAAGACGCGGTTGAAGAGGTAGACGTGCTCTGGCGAGAGGTGATGAGAAAACGCCATTTAACACCCCCAGCACTTCTCGGCAACCTCGAGGGGTTGATGGCTTGGAAATCCTGTCGAATCGAAGACAGCTCCCATGTCTCCTGCTAGTCCTCAAATACAGTTCCTGCTGCAAGGAATTATGGACACGGTGAAGACCATATTATTCCGCTTTTAAAGGGTCCATTCGAGTCGTCTCTTTTTTTGAAAATTGAACTCGCCATGAACTCATTTCATCGAGTTTAACAAGGTATTACTAATCAATCAAGATTTACCGTACAACCAATCGCCTTGCTCTGTATAACACCTATACGAACACTAGATTTACTAAGTATAGGAACATCGTTCGAAGATCGGCTCTGTCCAGTCAGTCGAAAAGATTCTGCTGTGGTGGAAAAGTCGATGGACAGTGGAAGGCATTGTACCCAGAGGCTACGCAGGAGCATCGAGCCGATGGCGTGACATTCAGCAGAAGGCGTGCTCGACTGAACTCGTGGAGCAAACGGCTCCGTCTCTCAGGTACCAGAGATGAGCTGAGCCACAGTTACTAAAATCTAGCATTCTTCCGAGTAGAATTCTATGCAATCATAGGAGAGAAAGGAAAGGTAGTTTTCCTATGACTTATACCTACACTATGACCAGTCTTACCTGATTGAGACTTATTGAACCCTTTAATATTTCAGTCCCTTACAGTCCCTTTCAAATCTTGAAATAAGGAGAACTTTGCTTTGGAGCAGTTTGGTTGTAAGGAATGTCCATCATTCTGAAAATTTTGTTTAACTTGGAAGTGATCTTTGGTCCAAGTGACCTTTTGAGATGAGACTTATACTGCTATACGTATTTCCGGGTGCTGATTTCAAATCTCAAATCAAATCTGGTTTTCAAAGATGCCAAACGATTCTTTGAACGAAGTTATGAAGGTGGTTTCAAGTGAGTGCTCAACGCAAACAAGCGCTCAAGACAAGGGAGCAACGGAGCTAACAGCGGAGCCGCTGTAAGCGTGATACTCTATATGATGAGACCATGGTTCGGGTTTTGTGTGGGATGGAGTTTTTGCATGCTGCGGGGCGTTTTCCTTGAGAACGGG